TATAATATTATTCTAATATTGTGATATAAATAATAAAATGATAATAATATTTGTAAACTAAATAATAATATATATGTAACATATATATGATAAATTGAGTTAATAGTATTATATGAAATTAGATTAAATAGACTAGTATGAATATTATATAATATATTATTATAATGAAGATAATAACAATGTAATATATAATGATAATTAATAATTAAGTATACTATCAATAAAAATTATAATTATTTAATAATTAAAGTATAATACTTATAATATATTATGATGATGATGATAATTAATGATATAACAATGTAACAATTTAAAAGATAAACATAAGTTAAACAATATTAAACTAGATATGGTGATAATGATGATCATTGATAATAATTTAGCTTGTATTAAAACAATAATGATGATATAATAATAATTGGTAATGATGATAAGATGAAATCAATAATAACAACAACATAATTAATATAACAATTATATATATCGCATATATCAATCATTTTATAGCATAAAGATAACAATTAAATTATAATATATGAAAGATTAATAATGATTAATGATTAAATTAGTATAATATAGTATCTTAGATTAAGTTACTAGCTACTGTGATGATATATTATATAAGTTAATAGTAAACATAATTAAATTGAATATCAGCTAAAATATTTGTATATAATAAATTAGTATAATAGATTTAAAATAATATAGATTGAATACAATATAATAATGAAGATGATAATAATAATGATATTAATGACAATTATAATAAGTAATATCAATACAATGATATAATGTTAATGATTGATGTAATGATGGATATATATAATAATAGTAAATTATATATGTAATGATGATATTTAATATAATATAAAATATAAGAAAAATACTACTGACTATATACTACGACGTATACGATCTACTTAACTATACTATTTACTATATATTAAATAATATTATAAGTTAATATATATAATATATTAATAATGAATTAAATAATAATAGTGATTATACTTATAATATTATAATAATTATATAAATATAATTAGTATAATAAATTAATTAATATAATAATTAAACTAATATAATATGATGATAATGATTTAATATAATATAATAAATAACAATTAATATAAATATAATTATAGTTTTGATAACAAAATGTTATAAATTAAATATGTAAGTAGTAATGATGATTCAAATAAGGCATTGAAGGTGAGAACAGTAATTGATAAATGGAATAAATTAGAAAATTATAAATATTATAGAATATGAATAATGACTATAAATAATCGAAATTTAAATAATATTAGAGAATCGATTGTACCTCTGTCTGTAAGTTATAAATGAAGAAAACGTGAACTATATAGTTGGGCGTAATATGTATTTATAGTTAAAGGCATATTTTAATACTATTGTAATAATAAATAAAAATTCAAGTCGGATCCCTGACTAATCTATAATTATTTAAGAATATAATCATATTGTGCTAAGATATTATAACATATACCTGCATAGCGGCTTTATCTGTATACTAAGTGCATAAGGATACATTAAATGAAGTTAAGAAATAAAGATGATTATCCATTTAATAATAAAACTAAGAAGATAGAAAATTAGTGAAAGTCAAAATTAAAGTGTGTGAGAAGAAAGTATGATAGTGAGAGATAATAAAAGAAAGAAAACGTACTCAAAAGATCAGAGTGAAGGATTAATAACAGTCTAGTATAAGGGACGTGGGGCGTAGATGAAATACGATATATTATATAAAATAGATAAGGTATAGAAGGATAAATAGTGTAGAGAGGAAAGGATAGTAAGAATGTCAGTTATATACTATATATATATATATACAATGTTGAAAGTATATATTAGGAGCATAAAAATATATAATGATGAGATTATATAGAGAGAGAGAGAGTGAATAGAGAGAATATTTAGATTATAGAGAGTGATATATGAAAGATAGAGAGATAGAATTAGTAATAGTAGAGAGAGATAGTAAGATTAGAGATGTAATAATTATATATATATAAATATATATATATATAAATAGATAGAATATTAGTATATGAAAAAGTGAAGTACTGAGTGAAGATGTGAATATTATAGTAAGAAAGTATATACTATAGAGATATATATATATATGATAAGTATATATATAAGAGAGAGAGATGTAAGAGGGTAAAATCAGCCTGAATTGAAAATGATAGTAATCACGTACTTATTCCTATATATAATAGGCTCTTATCTTGCCCTTTAGAACTATATCGCACTCTCGGTTAGGAATATGAGTAATAGTCTACGTTAGATAAATGGTTTGTTATATCATTTCTCCTAACGTTATAAAATATTATATATTTAACTCATTATCAAACTGAAATAAGTAATATATGTATAGAGATAAAGTAGCAATAAATATTTCTATTTATATATTCTCCGAAAATAAAATATATAATATACTTAATACAGTTATATCTAATATCTATAATTGCTACATAGGATATTATTAGTAACGAATTAATTTTTCTCACTTAACTTTTCAATCTTATTGATGAATATGTCTAAGATTTTATCTATATATAAGAATTTATATATATATAAGTTATTATGGTAGTCTATATCATGTAAATTGGCTATATGTAGAATGTTTTAATAATAAAATTATGTTCCCATCTCAGATATAGAATAAATATGCTATAGTCTGTTAGTTAGTCATTTTTTTGTAGTATATCTATAAATAATTGTTTTTTATTTTTGAGGGACACGGATATATTTTTTTTTTTTATTTTTTTTTTTTTTATACAAAAGATACAAGTTTATTAAATATATTAACTATATGTTAGGTAAGTCCATACTTAAGAATACTAAATCTGTGTCATATTATCTAATAAAAAAGTTTTAGATATTATATATAAAAAACAAATTGCTGTATGAGGAAATACGAATTAGAAAAGTTAATGATTAATTTTATATAGCCACCTACCTTACAATCTGTCAACATTTCTTATTTTATCTCATTCAGTGTGTTGTGGCGGTGATTTTTTTTACAACTGTCATTCAGATGCATAACATATGAATTAGATTGTTTAATTCTCCTAAATGCTAGGAGATATAGATCATATCATATGTAGAATATATAGGTATATTAGTTATATAGAATTATAGAGTATTATTATTAATTTTTGATGATGACGAGTATATTGTACATAATATTCATCATTGTAGATACTATTAATAACATAAGGCATCATAACGCTATAATCAGCTATAACTTATATGATATCACACATACCAACACACAGACTTTTTTAATAGTTTATTATTTAACATGAGTAGGCATTCTGGAGTACTCCAGTAAGACAGAGTTTCGGTGGACATTGCACGCTACCTCTCTCTGCTATGCACCGCTAGTACGTCGGCAGGCGGAGAAAGAAAAAAGTCTATGGATGTACTGAAGCCGAGGAGGCACTGGCGGTATTTGTGCGAAGCGCTCGTCTCTCCTCATGGCTTCGTTCATCCTGTTAGATCAGTTTACTACTACCATTATAGGCAATTCTAACCTATCGTTGTCTGATAGAGAAGCCTGTTCGCACAGGTCAACGCCCTCACCGCAGGTTTTTTAGGCCTAAGGTTCTACCTAATATGTTCCGTTTGGGGTCTCCGTGTCTGAATGGATGTCACTTGAATCCGTTCTCGAAGATGGCGGTACTTCGATCAGGAAGATTTATATGGTTATTTATCGTATGGTCCTCGCTCTAGATATTATGGCTCAGATCAAGTATAAATATCCGAGATGCTCCTATTCAATTATGGAATAATCTGCCTTGTTCCCCTCGTCGTCGGTTGGGGGGTATCAGGTGTATATATATATATATAAGAGTATAGTACGCTAGTATATAAATTAGAGGGTCAAGCTCTGATATGGAAGGCACCTTTCCTGAGTGCAGACTTGCTCTTCGCTGCACGCACGATAGTATAGGTATATATAGGTACAGTAGTCGTTTACTATGGATCAACTTAGTCGTCGTATAAGTGCTTTAGGCGTCTGGCTTAGTCCCAGGTCATGTCGTACTCTTATATATGGTCTTTATACTATAGGTATATGTATATATAGAGTAGGGAATGGCTATTTTAGTGTTATATACTGAATAGTCAACTAAGGGGACGGAATATTATTGTATATCAAATAGGGCTAGTTTAGAGGTAATATAACTGTAATCTATTATTGGTGCTCCTTAATACTCAAAATACCAGTCTGACCGTTACTTACCTAAAACCTCATACAAAACCCAACACTATAAACTATAGCGCTATATAAGTATACTTCTAAGTTACTTCATGGTGACTTATATTATTAGAGCTTCCCGTATTATGAGGTATATAAACTGTGTAGGTAATAAGATTATTGTGAACTTGAACTAATATATAAATTATCAGTAGTATATATAATATACTATCAAGTTGTTTTATGTTATTTTGTTATCTTATTCTATATTTAGGTATGTGAGAATTTTAGTTTATTTATATATGTCGTTCGCTGCTATAGGTATATAATATAGAACCTCTTATTATATATATGATAAAAATATATATTTGAATATATTATAATAGTACGTAATCAATAATGTTAATTATGATCATATATTAATATTATGTATTAATTAAACTCTCATTAGATTAATATTAAATAATGAAAATAGCAAATATATAAGTGATAAATAATAATGTTAAATAACATATATAATATAATAGCAATATATATTAAAATAATAACAGATTGATAATGATATTTCTATGGTATATATTATTTAGTAATTATTGATATTATTTTCACTCTCGCTTGAAAAGAAATAGGAAATAAATAATAGCTCTCATAAAGGCGTGTCGTGCAATACATCATAGTGTAGCTCAATATATGCACTTACAATAACTCGTGTATATATATCCTTGAAAACTCGTCAATTCCTAATAATATAGCCATCGTTCTCACTGCTATCTGCTCATATATATAGCCTAAGCAGGATCCTCCCCCTCAGATCCGCTCCGCAAGCTCCTTCGTCCTGAGCCTCAGCCTCTCCTTTGCCCGCCCTCCGCCACCGCTCTCGTCGGGAGGCTGAAGGAGGCGTCGACTTCAAGGGAGTTGTTGTCTCTGCGGGAGTGGGAGGACCTGGGGTTGTGTCCTCTCCTTGCGGCGGCGGCGGGGGCGCTGGGGACAGGAACCAGGAGTGATAAAGGTCGACCAACGGGGCGGGGAAGGACCAGGAGGATACCAGAGTCGAACCCAGGACGGCGACGAGAGGAACCATCCATGCCAAACGCCTCGTGATACCTGGGTAGACATGGGACGCGGGTGTTAACCATGGAATTATTTCTGGGGAAAATAGGTATTGGTATCGGTCATGGAATTATTTCCGGTAGATCTTGGTATCAATCACGGAATTATTTCTAGCAAAAAAAAAAGGATAAAAAAAATAATTGTCAGTGAGACTTCTGGTTGAGTATCTGTTACGTTGTCTCATATTTCTTTTGTTTTGATATAATTGGCAAACACAGTGATTGTACAATTTCTTTTATTGATTACATTCACAGGCAACATGTATCAAAGATATGTCTGTATTACTAAGTAGCACAGACTGCCTTACAAACGGTAAAAAAATGAGATAATGACAATAAAAAATAAAGAAAAATATATTACAGAATGCAAGAAATGCAACCATCATTCGTTATTGCATTATTGTTGCAGCTACGCATTTAGGAACATCTGAACATTAACTACACATCTTAGTTATTTTCTGCTTGTATCTAGTGAACTAAATAGTGAAACAGACAATAGCTATTTATCTATGAAGATACAAGTAAAATAAATTTGATGAATGTACAAGGCTTCCATACGCAGAGAGAGAGACAATGAGAAAACCAATTATCCATCACTCAATTTTTCTCTGTATGTATATATGTACAACCATCCCTCTCCTACTTTTCTCTCTCTATCTTTACATATAAATAGAACGCATATATATATATATATATATATATATATATATATATATATATATATATATATATATATATATATATATGCATATATGGATATGTATGTAATAAATTGATTAATATATACATATATATATATATAATATATATATATATATATATATATTATATATATATATATATATATATATATATATATATGTATATATATATATATATATATATATATATATATATATATATATATATAGTATTATATATATATGTATATAATATATATATAAATATATATATATATTATATATATATATATATATATATATATATATATATTATATATATATATATATATAATATAATATGTATATACATATATTATATATATATATATATATATATATATATATATATAATACATAAATATGTATATACATACATATATATATATATATATATATATATATATATATATATATATATATAATATATATAAACATACACACACACACACACACACACACACACACACACACACACACACACACACACACACACACATATATATATATATATATATATATATATATATATATATATATATATATATATATATATATATATATATATATATATATATATATATGTATGTATGTATGTATATACATATATGTATATATATATATATATATATATATATATATATATATATATATATATAACATTACATACATATTATATATATATATATATATATATATATATATATATATATATATATATATATATATATATATATATATATTATTATATGTATGTATGTATGTGTATGCATATATATATATATAATATATATATATATATATATATATATATATATATATATATATATATATATATATATATATATATATATATATATATATATATATATATATATATATATATATATATATATATATATATATATATATATATATAAGGCATGAATGAGAATGAATACATTCACAATACAAGAGATGTATTTGACGAGTTTCAATATATTTTTCGTCAAAAATACATATTGCTGAAGAATATTCTAAATCGGTAAAATATAATCTCTTGTATTATGAATATATTAATTTCTCATTCAACATGAATACGGTTCATATATATATATATGTGTATGTGTGTGTGTGTACATATATATATATTCATGCATATACATTAAATATACTTATATATATAAATGTTGATACACACACACACACACACACACACACACACACACACACACACACACACACACATATTATATATATATATATATATATATATATATATATATATATATATATATGTGTGTGTGTGTGTGTGTGTGTGTTGTGTGTGTGTGTGTGTGTATCATGTGCGTGTATGTATAATATATATATATATATATATATATATATATATATATATATATATATATATATATATATATATATATATATATACATATGCATATATACACAAGCATATATATACATGTGTGTGTGTGTGTGTTTGTGTGTGTGTGAGTATATGCATACATGCATATGTATGAATGTAAGTATATATACGTGTGAAATATATCTACCTATCTACATCAATATGTAACTACCACCAGCCTCCACGGATATCAAGAACAAGAAAAGCCCAACTAAAATCCTCAAGAGAAACAAACACAAGGATGACCTCTGAAGACTCACTCATTGCCTCAGCGTCTTGAGAGTTTCCGATGACAGGAGAGTAACCAGCTGACTGGACTAAGAACGTCTGAAGGCGCGCCGTCCACTCGATATATGTATACCATCGCTTAT